ACGAATACCCACAGTTAATAATAATTAAGTTAAATAATTTAATTAAACCAGTTCTGCACAACTTGTGACTTCAGAATCCCAGCTTGGTGGCCATGTTTGGCCTTTGTGTGCTTGCTACCTGTACGGAACTGGAAAAAGAGAAAGACGGGGAGCTCTTGAACCCCCAGTAAACCCAACATCTGCTCCTGAGCTGCATGTGAGATTTGCATGAGAGCCTGAAGGTTGCACATGTGTTTTTGTCACTAAGTAGAGGCCAGAGATTTGCTTAAAGACCATTTCAAACTTTGATTGAAGTGCCAGTTTGGAAGACTTAGTAAAAAGTACACCTTTTCACATATCATTATGTCTAACATGCGATGGAGAATGTATTCCGTAACGTACATTTTTCTACAGAGGTCATGCAACAGGGAGTTGCCTTCATAATATCTTTTGTTTAGATGACCCTGCCTCTTGCACAGGTGGTGCTATTCCTGGCCTAGAGAGAAGAGCTTCACTGGCAAGTTATCTGAACATCAGGCTGCTGTTTAACGGAGGGCTGGGAAATCTGGGCCTTGCCAGATGTTTTGACCAGCACCTCCCTTCTGCCCTAGCCATCTGTCCTCCCTTACAGAGGGCTGTTTCAGGCCCTGCCAGCAGGTACTTGAAGGCGACCTTATTTGAAAGGCTTTCCCTTCCAATCCTAGTGTAAAGGAAAGATCCACGAAAGCTGTTTCCCATCCACAACAACCCCCGAAAAGCAGACTGGCCAGGAAGGCAAAGGTCCCTTGGTCATAGCCTTCTACACCATGGTGAGAGAAGGTGTGTTACAATAATCAGCTATACATTTCCATCTCTGTATGCAAATAAGCACATGCAAATTTTATGTGAATGCTGCCCTCTCTGATCTGTTTTTTGGGTGATGTGTTTCCTGCTGTTTCGCCAGGCAGCGTGGCACTGATCACTCCGTGCACATGCGATCCAGTTACAAAAGTCGGTCTATTTCAGGGGTGCAGAACCTCGGGCCACGAGGCCCTCCAGTCTGGCCCATGCAGGCTCTTCCAGTTCCCCTGGAGAAGTCCCCACCGAGGGTCTTCCTTCCATCAACACCCGTGTGTGTCGGGAGAGGAATCCTCAGTGTGATCTCCGATCTGAGACAGCAGCAAGGGGAGAAGAGGCGGAGGCCAGCAGGCACTGGGCCAGCCCCAGCCCCGCGACAGCAGCCGCTGCTCCCCACGCAGCCCCATCTTCTCCCTGCGCACTGCCTCCTTCCCACAAGGGAAGAGAGCGGATCCCAGGCACTGCGGAGCCCCTTTTTGCTCCCCATCAGAGGAGTGGCAGGTGTTGATCTGGCTTGGCTGCACGCAGAGATTCCTGAGCGGTCCCTGGCCCAAGCCAAGGTGGCAGATCTGCCCAGTGTTTCTCCCAGACAGCAGGTGTCGCTGGGGCATGGCCACACACCTGGATGCCATGCCGCAAGCAGAGGGCGAGGTGGGGAAGCAATCCCGCATGCTCTCTCCCTACTCAGAGATGTTCTTCCCCTCCGGTGCCTTGATTCAGAAGCGTGAGATTAAGAGGGCGCATGTCGAAACGTGACTCAGACACCTTTCTCTCCTGCCCTGTCCCAGAACTAGGAACAGCATAACAACATAGATGCATTTGCTGAGAAGTGGATGTGCTGCATTCAGCTTACTGGCAATCAGCAAAGTGAAGCAAAGGGAACTACTGAAAGTTCACTTGAATGAGGTCATGAAGAATAATTGTGCGCTTTGGCAGTGGCTAATCTTGATCAAATCGCCTAGCTCTTTCCCAAAATAGCACTAGATAAATATTTACCTTGCTTTCTTAAAAGGCCAGGTCAGCCTCTTCAGCTGTCCCTGCTCGAGGCTCCTTTAATTGACACCACGGGGCTTCTGCAGACTAGAGTCAAAAGGCTGCGACATCCTGCCTTTACCTATAGAGTGCCATGGTTTATTATCTATAGAGTGCCATCCATGGCACTACACCATGGCAGGTACCTGCCCCAAGGAGTGTATATCCTAAAATTTGCCACAGCAGAAGCGATAAAGGGTGGTCTGGAAGGGTGATAAGGGTGTCACTGTGGCTTATTTCCAGCAAGGTCTTTGGGAAGGCGCTGCTTTCCGTCTCCTGCTGTGGCCGATGAAGCAGCCTGCATGCTCTGTGCTATGCCTGGAGTCTTGCCGAGGGGCGGTGGCGCATGGGAAGGGCAAGACCGAGAGAGGAACCCCTTCTGCCATGCCCTGCTGCGCTGGGATCGCTGACCCACAAACCCACGTCCTGAGCTGCTCCCCCACCTGCCCTGGATTGAAATGGTGCCTTGTGGCCATTGCACTGCCTCCCTCCAAGCCAAGCTCTTCGTGGTGGTTGTTTGCCTGGCAGCACGAAGCCGGGCAACTCGATACTGGAGACCAATGCAGGAAATTGGGGTGGGGATCAGACAGAATCCCTGGATCCCCAGATATTGATAGGCTCAAGGGCCATGGCATCCAAGCAGGATGGGAGGTGGAGTCTAGCAACGTCTGGTTGCCCAGGCATTGGGAGCTCCTTTTCTGCCCCCTCATGCTGCTTCTTTGCTTAAAATCCCCTGGAAGCTGTTTTTTGATGTACAAGGAAACAGATGCAGCGATGCCACTTGGGCTCTAGTTTTGACAGAAAAGCCGTGCGTGTTTCTTCGAACTCTACTCCGGTAATCTAGGAGATGCAAAGTGGGTTCCAGAATCATTAAGCTTGTTGCTGGGATTAAGTTGGCTAACTTGGAGCAGTTCAGCTCACTAGACCTGCGGCTAATGATACTCAGGATCCTAAGTATCTCAGTTCTAAAAATGAAGAAATCTCTGTTTCTTGTGATTGCCGTGAAGCGCTTTGAAAACATATATTTGGAATCTGTCCTACACTCAGTGTTGGCAGGATGCAAATGAGAAAATTAACATTTATTTTTAAATATCCTGACAGAGTGGGAGACAAGATTGCTGCAACTGCTTTTGCTTTGTCAGCCCAGCCCTTTTGTGGAAACCCCCGTTTCATGTGCATCGAAACACCTCTGAGTCCAGTATTGCAAGCACTGGTGCAGGGCAAGCATAAAAGACCAAGGAACAAATTGGTGAAAACAGTAGAAGCTACCTTGTTAGTGCACTTGAAGACAATCATAACTCAGTCCTGTTTCATGGGCTTCTCTCTCCAGCATAAACAAAGCCCTGTTCCCTCCTCTATAAAAACTGCCTTATAAGCAGCCAAGTACATCTGCCCCTTGCTAGCCAAAGTTTTGAGACCGTTTACCCAACCTGTGCCAACGTGGTGTTGCTTGAAAGCCTTTGGCATAAAGATCATGTAACAGTTTGCTTTTCTGTTTAGCAAAAATTCTCCATGTATAAGAAACAGTCATTTCCCCAAGTCTCTAAAGCTTACCACAACACTCGGGAGGAAGGGTGAAGGTCTCAACGAAAGGTCTGTGAATTCAGCAGGAGGGGGTTAAGGTTCAGTCTTGAAAACTTCTGTGCAAACAGCTGATCCAGTGCAGTGACTGGGGGTGATTCCTTTGCTACGGCAAGGTTTCTTTGCGTCATTGCTGCGATGTCAACACTCACAAGTGATGACATCTGTCTAGGGAGGCAGGCAGGCAGGCAGAGTAGGAGGTGGCAGGGAGAGATTTGGCAGTTGAATAATTACAGAACATTTACTTGTATTGCGTTTTAAGTGTTACGGTTGCCACATGGGCTTGGAAATAGTTCACACAGATTTCAAGTTAAGCAAACACGAGTTCTTGAAAACTGCAGCTGCTTTTCTGCTACTTTTAGCAGGACTTCAGCATGAGGCAGGCCAAAATGAGCCACTAATATACCTCTGCAAACCAGGCAGTCTTTGCAAGGTCAGGACCTGGACTTGGCGCCTGCAACAAGATTGTGCTTAGAGCTACAGGAGTCAAGCTGGGGTGGGGGGCATGTAGAGAAAGAACAAAGAAGCAGGAGAGATTTGACTGCCAACATCATCAGCCTCTAGCCCTGGGATCAAACATTTATCATAATAAAGGAGGAAGCTTGCCTGCCATTGCCATCGTGCCAAGACTGAAATCTAGACATCTGAAACTTGGTATGAGTGGGGTGTGCACCTCAAAGTCATTACGCTTTTTAAAAACATCAATTACTTTTTATTGATTATAGTGAGTCCATGTGGCTGAAGTCTCTCTCCAGCAGCATCTCCAGCCACCAATAGACATCTGGGGAAGTTACTGGCCCCAGAAAGAGAGGTCTCAGTCCCTGGCCTGCTGCAGTGGGACAGCCCCTCTGTTTCAAGGGAGTGGACAGGTCCCCTCCTCAGGGGGCCTTGGGGGCACACGGTGGCCAGGCTGAGGATGCCAGAGGGCATGGCTTCACTCAGATGGGGCAGGCACAGGGTGACTGGAAGCCTTTGCTAAGGACTGTCCCACTTGGGGTATCCCTCTGCTAATGAGCAATGAAGCTGACCCTGTGTTTGCCGTTCCAAGTGGACTTTCTTATGCATCAAAGAGCAAGACTGGATTCAGAGCTGAGCTTGGCTGCCCAACCTCTGCACTTGCTTAGAAGTCACCAGGTTTGGTGTCCTCCAGCCAAAGAGGACGGATGTTGCACTCTGTTCGCAACTGGTGTGAGGGGCCAGCTTCGGTTGGTAATGCAAGCACATGCACTGTTTTTGATCGCCCATCAAACGGGGGCAAATTGCAGTTCTGATACCTGCTCTTGAAGCCACAGCTTGGAAACTGCAAGCATGTTGAGGGCTCGAATGCTTCCTTCCCCTTCTCCCTGTACATTTCTCCGCGTAGGCCTATCTCCACGCTGACATCCATTATTAACAGGATGCAGACGTAAAGCTGAACCATGGTTGAGGCTCTCAGTGCAAGGACGGGCCAATTTGCATGGGGGGCAGGAGGGGTGTATGGTTGCCAGTTTGCATGGCACGGAGACCCTGGGGCTGTGAGAAAAGCCATTGGCGGCTGAACGGATGCCGTCTTTTCTTGTTTGCCTCCACAGGTTACATCCAAGCTTGCAGAGGACTCATGATCGCCGCGGTCTGCCTTGGATTTTTCGGCTCTGTGTTTGCACTGGTTGGAATGAAGTGCACAAAAATCGGGGGCTCTGACCAGACCAAAGCTAAAATTGCTTGTTTTGCTGGGCTGATTTTCATTCTTTCTGGTAAGTAGGACATGATAAATGCAAGATGTTTTCAGGTCTGTTGGGACGCATGCCATCAAAGTGATGGAGAAACTGGTATGGATTTCATGTGTCCATGGGGTCAGATGTACATGTTTGGTTCAGGTTCCAGTTACTGAAATGTTGCTTCCCTGATGCATTTTTAGGGCTGAGCGCATTGACCGGTTGCTCCCTGTATGCAAACCGAATCACATCGGAGTTCTTTGACCCTACATTTATTGCACAAAAGTAAGTACTTTGGGGAAAAGGTGGAGCTTTTTTCAGAGAAGTATAGGGACATCGCAGCTTCTGATGTCATTGGAAAGTCAAATGTCCACATAATTCATTGCCACAATATGGGAAGTGTTTAAGTAGACGCTCGAGGGCCACCTATCAGGCATGATGTTATAATCTGCAGGAGTTTGGACTAGATGATCTTTGAGGTCTCCTCCAACTCTGTGCTTTCTTGCAGTTAGGTATACAGGTGAATACAAGCAACCTGGAGGTGCCATCTCCCATTAAAAGAAATGATGATGAATGTGCCTGCCAGTTGCTGCTGAGGGATTGGCACGTATCTGTAAGATTTGCTCTTCCAGTGGAAGAAGAGACAGCTGTCCTGCCTTCACACCAGCACCAAGCCCCTACTGCCTGCCATGTAGGAGGCCTGCTTTTTTCAATGGGAGATGGTTTACGAGCAGATGAAACAAAGGCTGTCTCTTTTTCCACTGTAATATAAATTTAAAGGTATCCGTGCATGTTTCCCAGGTCATACCCTGGCAACTCTAAACATAAAGATTTGGAGTTGGTTGAATAAATGGCTGAGGCTTGAGTGATTTGCAGACTATCAAGCCTTTCTTGACAGCAAGCAAGCAACTGCAGCAAAAGAACAGTTATGTGATTTATGAAATACGTTTGAAAGGTTTGGGGGAGTCAAAGACATCCTCCTATGTAAATCAGCCTTCACAAATGTAATAAAAAATACTTCCCTGGCGGTTGCACTCATTATCAGCAGATCGAAGCAAAGGAACAGAGTAAGGCATTAAGATGGGTGTATTACAGATCTGATAAGCTCTACTCTACATATGTTGGGCAGAAGTCTCGGAAAATATCCTTTGGTATGTACATAGAAAGGGGATCCTAGAGCAAAACAAGCTAGAAGTTTCCCTGGAAGCAAAAATGGCAAAACGGAAGCTGTCACGCTTTGCCACATCATGAGAAGGCAAGGCTCATTGGAGAAGACGATCATTTTAGGGAGAGGCAGAAGGCGGCAAGGAAGACCAGCTATGAGATAGGTCAAGCCCACCAAGGAAGCCACGAGCTTTTGCAGGGCACATTCAGATAAGATCTGAGCAGTGCTGTCAAGGCCAGGAGCTTTTGGAGGGCACCTTCAGCGACAGCTTGATGGCATATAGCAACGACAGCGTACATAGCAAGGTTAACTGCAGAAAAACAGACAGAAATGTAACTCACGGTGTTACCATGGATGAATCTTTAGCATGCTGCTTCTTCCAAGTCAGCTCAAACTGTGAAGTGCTCATAACCAATAAGCCCATTTTGCCCAAGGTCTGAATATGCAGGATATCCAACTGTGCTAAAAGCTGTTTGCTTCTGGGCCAGGCTAGTGATGACAGCTGAGATCCAGCCAAAGATTAAATATTTGCCTGCCAACACAGTTACCTTAATAGATGCCCAACAGACTGCAGCATTAGCAAGAACACCGTGACTCATTTGACACTAATGTAAGCCACTCTTGTAAGCTAAATTTCTTTAGATGTGAATGGCCATTGCCCAGCAAGAAGACTTGGTGCCTTGCTCCTTGAACCAGAAAAATGATCTTTTACATTGAGCTATCTATTGAGATTGGAAGTGAATTCCATTCAGATCGATTGGGTGTGTTTCCATGTCAATGGTAGTTTGTTGCCAGTGGTTCTAGACCTATAACCAGTGGTGAATGGGAGAAGACAAGACATTTGGGGAAAAGCAGAAGTTCTGATGACTTTGTTGTTCCCTTTTGCAATATAGCATGCATTGGTTTTGCAACCTTATTTAGTAAAATATGTTAATATGTTGGGTGGCTTTGTTTATCTTTGTCACACCCTCCAAAAATGAGATCAGTGAAACCTATTTGCTGATTAAACTATTTACTAAGCATGGATGTATCACTTTCCTGCAGGTATGAATTAGGAGCAGCTTTGTTCATTGGATGGGCTGGAGCATCACTTTGCATAATTGGCGGCAGTATATTCTGCTTCTCAATTGCCGAAAACAATAAAACTCCAAGGTACAGAACACACCAGCTTTATTGAAATTAATGCATTAGCATATTTCTAATTATTAAATGTGTAAGAAGGTAAGCTACGCAGATCCAGTTTGCATATCTTTCAAAAACAACTTTACGGTTAGGGTTTGGGAATGATTGGTTGAAAGGAAAAAGGGGGGATTTAACTGCTTCAGTCCCCCTCCCCTTTAAGGAAAACACTTGTTTGAGTCTGCTTATCTGTATAAGGCTTCAGCAATATGTTAGATGTCATCTGGCAGAAGCTGATAGCAAAGCCTTCCATTGTGCCACGTAGGTGCCTTAATCTCTCCTCTCGATAGGGGTGTAGGGACACGTGTGGTGCAGTGGTTAGGGTGTTGGATGAACCCAGGGGATCTGAGTTCTAGTCCCCAGTCAGCTATGAAGCCCACTGGATGACTTTGGGCCAGTCACGGACTCAGCCTAACCTGCCTCAGAATCTATGAGGACAAAAGGGAGAAGAGGAAGATGGTGTATGCCTCCCTGGATACTCTGGAGAAAGGGCAAGTTAGATACACAATGAATAAATATTGTATTGTTTGTGTTTCTAGGAATCTTGAATCACATGATTTAGGAATCTGAGCTAACATCTTTGCATCTGCCAAACATTTTCCTGCTCTTTCAGGAGGGTAGACATGGGATTCCCAGAATGAAATGCAGAAAACCACCTGCCTTTATCTTCAAGTAGGACACATTGAGTAGGACAGGTTGTTATGACTGTCCTCTCCCCTTCTGCCCAAGATCTGTTGCTTACCCTCCTCCTCCATCAGCTGAAGCAGGTGGGGCTTTGGCTTTGCCCAGCCAATATGGCGGAGCAGGGTAAATGGGATCTGGTCAGGCATGAGGCAGGAAACATGAGGCAACAGCTCCTGCTGTATTGATGCTGTTGAAGATAAAGGTTGCAACCTGGCATTCTCTCATTGACTGTAAAGGATAAGTTCATTTGAAGGATGTCTTGAAAGCTAACAGACTAGCTTAGGGGGGAAAATAACACAGGTACCAACTGAGGGGCAAATGAGTTTCTTTTTCCATTTCCATAATGGTTGCATTATGGAGGAGTTCTGAGGGGCCTGGGCTCTCCCTACCATCTGTAGGGACAGCATATTATTAGAAACAAAACACTGTATGACTTTCTTCTGGGTAGAAATCCATAGGGTCTTCAACCTTTTTTGGGACTAGTGAGTACATTTAGCATTTTGAAAAAAATCTGATCGCCAGTAACATAAAATGGCTGTGTTGTTAGAAGTGTCCATGTGTGGAAAGGCGGTCATGGTGGGTGCAGCTAAGCACAAAACACTCATTTCCATAGTCTTTGGGCTCATCTAGAGCCCAGAGGCATTCTGGGAATGGAGATGTGGGTGGTGGGTTCACAACCCCAACTTAAAGGTAAAAAAAATAAAACTTGGGAGCAGCAGGGAAGTGTAGAAATGATCAAAGCTGGTTCTGTTGGAGACCTTAGAAAAATACTTTTAGGTTTAAATAAGGGGCTTGCGCTTGTTGCCACAAATTTGACTTTATTTCTTCGGACATCAGCTCCCCCACCCCAGCCCCTTTTCTTGGCTGTGTTTTCAAAGGATAGAGATGCTGCAGATAATTGGAAAGCTGCATCTCCAATTTAAAAGAACTGCAGGTCAAGTAAAACCTCTCAAAGCTGCCACTGCTGCCCTGCTTGAGAACTAGGATGGTCTCCATTTTTCTGACACGGCTCCAGACATGCAAACAGTAAACAGGTGTAATGTTTGCGGGCAGGTGGGAAATACTGTGACCTGCTCTAATGTTAATGTTGCAACAGGGTGAAAGGTGTGGGGGCAGGCCAAGGAAAAAACGTGACCACCCTATGTTAGGATGTATCCCACAAACCCAACTCTGTTGTTTGAGAGAGATGTGTAATTATGAGATGAGATCCTTCTCTCCCTTGGGTTGCCAATTAACTCTTGATTTTCTAGTTTTTGTTCCCGTGGGGCTATTGGTTCTTTGACCTGTATGTTTTGGTAACCTTAGGGCAGCTTCAGATCTCCACTCTGATGTTTAGCCATGGGAACGCTCCCAAGGGTCTGAACACAATTTGGAGATGGGTGTGCTGTGAGAATCCCTAAGTTTCTTTGGGATAATTGATTGTGTCTTACAGGTAAATGTGGGCATGCGCTCTGATGGCATTTCATGATTCTAAGCCACAGGACAGCATTTCTGTGTCTGAACCGTGTAACACAGAAGCCCTGAAATGGTTTTTGATTCTCATTCCATAATGTTAATGTGGTCCTAGCACAACTTCTTTAGAGGACTGGCAAAGTATTAACTTTATTCCTGTTAAACTGTTGCCTTGAAAGAATGCAGCAGTTGACTCTGAACAGCTACTTGAATTGCAGCAGGCCAGACAACTTGACCTACTCCGCTTGTTATGGGAACCCTGCAGTGCTAGGAAACCGGGGGATACTGTGTACCCCCCGTGGAGGAACCGAGAGCTATGGAGCAGAGGTGGAATGGGGGAGGGATGGATGATGGCACCAATGGCTGATCCGTTTCAGGTTCCAGTGCTACGTATTAAGAAAAAAGGAGTCTAGCTACCCTATCAGTGTAATCATTCCTAGCTTCATCCAGTCATCACACTTGTCAAGAGGTTGCATGGAGTTAATGTGACTCCAGTATTCTATTGGTCTAATTGAACTAGTTTGCTTTTAAAATGAGCTTTGTAAAACAAGCTGCTAGGAAACTGCAGTCTCCTATAGAGTGAATAATTGGCTCGGGCTGACCTTTCCATATACACACTTGAGAATACATCAACCACATGGTCCCTTGCAGTCCTAGTAGCAAGCTGATCAACCACCCAATTCAGGGGCCCAATCCCACCAATTCTTTATGAAACATTTGTGCATGTCTGCTCAGCAGCCAGCCCATTCAGCAGTAAGCTCCACTTAGTTCCGTGCATGCATAGAACTGGGCTACAAGCTTGGTCTCATGTAGGTCTACTCAGAAGTAAATCCAACTGTACTCACATTGCTTATGCTCAGGCAAATATGGGATTGCCAGCCTAAGACGTTAAGTATGAACTGAAAATGCTAATGAAACGATTAACTCAGCTATGAAATTAAGTCGCTATACATCATGGTGGACACAAACGCCCCCAAGCACTTTCTTCCGCCCTGCAGAGCCCATCCGGCTCTTTGGTATACATGAGAGCTGAGGATAATGAAGCAGGAGGGAAGATGGCTAGAGCCCAGGTGGAGGAAAACTCTGAATGAACCCAACTGAACATGCTCATTCTTGAGCCTATTCTGTGGCAGTGAAGGTGGCAAAGAGATGATTCAAGTGATTCGGGACCTTTTACATTCTGGCCCCAAAAGAAAGTTTATCAAACCCTCAGTAACCTGCTGTGATGAAATTGCACAACACTGAGGATAAAGTTGCTCAGATTCGTTTTAAGTTGGACACCACCATTATCCTAGTTCCATCAGCAGGTTTCCAGAGCACCATCTGGCCCTGCTTTGCTAGATGAGTTCCAGCTATTGCTATCTGAAGATGTGAATCAAGTGCTTGGCCTACAACCTGCATGCTCAACCTTCGCCATTCTGGCTAGTTGAGAGATACAAGGAGGGGATTTGCACCTGGTTCCAGGAGGCTGTGAAAGCTTCTTTGAGAGAGGGAGAGGTGTCAACCCCTTTAAAGGCAGCTGTGATTGCACTACTTCTGAAAAAAACCTAACCTGGATCTGGAAGATGAAAATAGTAATAGACCGATAGCCAACTTTCCCCTCCTGGGCACAATGTTCCATGGGTACAGGCTAGGCAATTCCAAAGGCACTTAAATGAAATGGATTATCTGGATCCATTTCAATTGGGCTTCAGGCTTGACTTTGGAATGGAAACTGCCTTGGTTGTCCTGTGGGATGACCTTTGTTGAGAGAGAGAGAGAGAGAGAGAGAGAGAGAGAGAGAGAGAGAGAGAGAGAGAGAGCGCGCGCGCGCGAGCGCGCGCGCGCAACCCTGTTGCTTCTCCTGGACCTTTCAGTGGCTTTCAGTACCATCACTCATGGTATACTTCTGGAGAGGGTGGATGAGTTGGAAGCTGGCAGCACTGTTTTGCAGTGGCTCTGCTCCTGCCTGGCGGACCAACTCAAGATGGTGGTGCTGGGGGACTGATGCTCTGTGCCATGGCACTTGTGGAGTTCCACGAGACGCCATCTTATCCCCCATGCTTTTTAACAGCTACATGAAACCACTGAGATTACACTCAGCTCTACCTCTTTTTCATCTAAACCAGGAGAAGCAGTGACTGTTCTTAACCAGTGCCTAAGCTTGGTAAGGGACTGGATAATGGTCAATATGCTGAAGCTCAATCCAGACAAGACGAAGGTGCCATTGATGGGCAGGCCGGCCATCCAACTGGGAATTTTTCAACCTGTCCTCCCCCTAAAGGACAAGGGTCATAGCTTGAGGGTGCTCCTGGACCCCACATTATTTTGTGTCTCTCAGGTGAACTCAGTGGCCAGAAGCACCTTCTGTAAGGCTGTTTTTCCAGCTATGTTCCTACTGAACTGAGCAGAGTGGAGCTACAGTTATCCATGCACTGGTAACCTCTCTCCTGGATTACTGTGCTCTATTTTGGGGGGGGGCTGTCTTTGAAAACAGGCTGAACACATCAACCAGTTCAGAACAAGGCAGTGCAGCCACTGACAAGGACTGGCCCTCATCAACACATCAGGCCAGTCCTCTGTTGGCTGCACTGGCTGCCGTTCAAAGTGTTAGCATTAACATACAAAGCCCTAAATGGGTGATATCAAAGGGAGTGCTGTCTCCATATATCCCTACGAGTCACCAAGATCAACAGAGGTCCTTCTCCAAGAACACTCCCCCAGTGAAGTAAGGGGGGGGGGAGGTCAGAAGGGCCTTCTCTGTGGTTGCACCCCTTATGAAATATGCTCCCAGGGAGGTGTGCCTGGTGCCATTGCTGCCGCCTTCCCGCCACCAGGTAAAGACTTTATTTAACAGGTGTTTTAATAGCTGAACTGTTTTATTTAAATGTTTACTAATTTTAATCAGTTTGTGGTACATTGTGACCTTTTTCACTTTCAGTGTCAGATTTTGTATTGTTTTAATGGATTCTTTTGTTTATTTTTATTGTTGCTGCTGCTGCTTTTATTGTAAGCCACCGAAGGAGCCATGGGGCGCCATATGAATTTCAGGAGGAGGGAGGGAGGGAAGACATGCTCTTTCAGTACTCAGCCTGCAGTACTGAGAAGACAATATTGAACTACTTTAAAGAGATTAAGAAAATGTGTTTTGAATGCAGAAAATGCTAAGGAAGTGCTACATTGCAAGATTTCTGCTGCAAAAGCAAAGTGCGTTTTCCTCAATGCATGTTGGTGCATGTTAAGGACAGGTTTATTCTAATGAAAAAAAAGTGGCATTGTCTTTTAAATACTACAGTTTGAACTGGAAATGGTGCAACTTTGTCTTTTTCAGGATGCGATACTCCTACAACAGAGCTGCTTCTGTGATGTCTACTCGAACAAAGGCCTACAATGACTCAGCCGATTTTAAAATGCCCAGAGCCCCTCCGAAGCACTTTGACAAAAATGCCTATGTGTAGCCAGAGGGTCTTCAGGAATCGATGCTTTTTTTAAAAATCATGTTTGTGCACTTCATTCACAGAATGATTTTTAGAAAGGTACTGGTGTCATTATCATCAGGAATAAGAATATTTTATAAATGAACTTGTACCTTCTTGATGTAAATTTTCCTCATGGCTTGTTTTAATGATGTTATGCATAAATTATATCTGTAAATCATGTGCTTTTTTCTTTCTGTAAAAAACTTATTTGAAATAAAGTCACTTCACATTGGTTATGGCTAATGGCATCCCAGTTCCTGGAGACTGAAATACTACAAGAAGTCTCAAAAAGTCCCAGCTTTTACATGGCTCCTAAGGTTGTAGTTTTCTCTCTGTTATTTAGCAACCAGCTATAAAGACATGTTAAAACAGATTGAAACCAGTGAGATGAAGCACAATCCCAGTTGTTTATACAATGAAACGTGTTCTAAAGCTTTCGAATCCTGAAATGCATCCTATTGGGTAGTTTGGGGATTCTTTCACAGAAACCTGTTCCTTTCCTCCTTATTTCTCAGGTACAAATCTTTCTGAAATCTGCAAGACACCTAAAACAGCTATTAACTGGGCATCATCTGCCCAGGGACATCTGAATGCTTCTTGAGAAATTTTACCAGTCTTAGCAGATTCGCCTCAGAAAAAGTCCCTTCCTTGATGTATAGCCAAAAGCATGGCTGTCAGATATAGGGAGGTGTTGATACTGCTCTGCATGACTCTGGTACGCCCACAACTGGAGTACTGCATCCAGTTCTGGACTCCACGTTAGAGGAGAGACATAGCTAGGTTAGAATCGGTTCAGCACAGGCTTACAAGAAGAGTAGCTGTGTTGGGATGGGTAACCTATGAGGCGAGATTGAAGGAACAGTGTCTTTTCAGCCTGAAGACGACTCCAAAGGGATCTTTTAATGACTGATAGGTATGTGAGGGGATGTCATGTGGAGGAGGGCCGTGATCTGTTCTTCCCTGCAGTGGAGGGCAGGACATATTCCAGTGGGGCAAAGCTCAAGGAACCAGGCTTCAGGCTGGAGATCAGGAAGTAGTTCCTGATGGTTAGGACCCTAGGAGAGGGAATGGGCTGTCAAGGGAGGTGCGATCCATGAGGGTGCTCAAGGAAAGATTGGACAGCCACATGTTGGGGGAGTGCAGCCGACTGGAGCTGGGGGTCAGCTTAGATGACCGGGGAGACCCCTTCTGACTCACTTTGTTTCTGTTTCTAGACAATTCAATTCAAATTTTTCTTCAGGTGAAATTTCTATGGCAACTCATTCTGTGGTAAATCATTAACTTTACCATGGTTTCTCCTGCAGAAAGCCTATATAGTTTTAAATGCTCTAAGAGACTGAACAAGACGGCTTCTGGACCTTCTACACCATTTTAATCACCCGTCAGACAGGGAGCTTCCTCTTCACACTGTAAGCCAAGTTCTGCTGTCTGTAGTAAGCAACCGAGGAAAAAGATGGTGGCAGGAGATTATTTTCCCCTTGGTGCCTCCAAGCATTTAAATGAGGGGAGAAGCAACTTAGGACAGTCCATAGGGAATTTATATCCCCATGTCTCCCCTTTGGGACAAAGTTTAAAAATGATTTAAAAAGGAGATAAAACATCTGTAACAAGAGGGACTCCCAAAACTCTGTGGACAAATTTAGCCTGCAAGCAAGCAAAATTAGATCTTTTTAATGCTCCCTAGTGCAAAGGGTGCCATTTTCCCCCTTAAAAGCCCCCCCCGCCCCCCAGTGGAGGCACAAGTAATCTGGGGGCTGCATGTTGCCTACCCTTAGATGTATGTGTGAAGTCTCAGCACTGATCTGGGCATCCACTGCTGAGAGTGCTGCTCATTTCCTTGCAACAATTGCCATATTCTGTATGCTCGTGAAGAGAGTAACATTTTCAAGAAAATAGTTTATTTAAGATGTTCATTTTTTCTATAAAGTTTAGCCTAAAGACTTGCTTTTATTTTATTTTGGGGTTTGTTTTTTTGTAAATTACCAAAATTACTGGGTCAGTTAATACTGTTTAATGATAATCGCTTATTCCCTTTAAGCAGTCCTGTATTAAATCAGAGAGAAAGAAAAAGACACCAGACTTTTGTAAACAAAAGTTCCTTGTTAATGCAGACCAAGAAAAATGAACAAAAATCAGATCGTTGTAGAAAAAAACACATTCCAAAGAAAATCATATATCTGAAGAGTCGCTCCAGTCGGTGACCGTGACCAAGCTGCTTTTTAAGGTACTTGTAGTATCGGCATCTTGAAGGCCTATTTAAAAAGACAACAGTGACATTATTTTTAAAGATATGCATTGAGAGAGTTCCTCTCAAGCACCTTATTTCAGTACTCTAGCCTTCTTAAATAATGCACGGGAATTTTCTAGGCTTATGTGCCAGGGCTTTAATGCACAAACAGAAAGGCCTGAAGCTGCACCCTTCAAAAACTACCGTGTCTGTGGGAGTCCTGCCCACCTTGCCGCCATGTGGACCTCTTTGTGAACAGCCTGAAAAATAGCTTCTTTTAGTAGAGATGCTACAAGTGTGATCCGTGAAGCCTCGGCTTCATCTGCTGAATGCTTCAGGGTGAGAGAGCGCTGCACTTCCAGTGGCAATAAATCATCATGAATGTTGCGTTTCATATAAAAGGGCGTCATGCTAAATTTTTATTTTAATTATATGGGAAACACAAGGCCTTGGATCCAGAGAATCCTTTGCGCAAGGAAAAAAGTGCTTCCAACAAGAGCAAGGGGCAGGCTTGGGTCAGAGCCAACCTCATTCTGCCGCACAGAAATGCCCAGGATGTGCAATGCGAGGGGAGCTGGATTCCCCTCCCGCGGCTCAACATGCCTTCAGATCCCCATTATGCACAAGCAGTCCAGCAAACCCACATTTCGCTGGAGAGCGTATGCGCCCTCACACCCCAGTGCAACTCTTTTGAGACTGGATTTGCCTGCATGGAAGATCACACTTTTAACTGTATTTGTACAGTTCTATGATACTTTGATATTGTGGATTTTATACTGCCTACTGACGTTGCGTTTTATGTCGTTCTGAAATCAAGAAGTGGAGGGGGTGCAGGTTGAACTGGGCATCCACCCTTTCTAGAACACCATCCCTTCAGTAGGGCTGGACTCGGGAGTGCTTCTCCATTCTCACTAACCCCGTCCTTGGTGAAGGTGTCCAAGGACAGGCTGGACATGAACATGGCAGGCACATCATGAGCGGAGCCGAGGTCAGACTCGATGACCCGGGAGGCCCCTTCTGACTCACTCTGTTTCTCCCCCCAGCTGTGCAGGGCATCAGGGATACTGACCCCCCGCCCCAGCAGAAACCACTGCCACTGTACCTTCGTCCTTTGGCAGCTTTCCCGCAGGAGCTCCCCAGGCGTGAGGCATCGATGCAGCATTGGAATCGCTTTTGGCAAGGGCGGTTACATTCTTTGCTTTCTCCCCTTTTGCTAGCAAGGGCTTTTCATCTTCCAAAGATGACAAATCCCAGTCGTCGTCATCTTCATCCTCAACTCCTGTAAACTATTAAGAAAAGAAATAAACAGAACTTGTTAAAATTTGGACTCGTTCTATAGCCATCTGGCCCTCCAGATGTTGCTAGATGCAAACGCCCACTGGTGCCAGCCAGCATGCTCATAGGTCAGGGAGGAAGGAGGCTGGAATCCAACATCTGCAGGGACATTTGCTTTCCACCCTAGTTCTAAGGCCTTTGCTAGTTCTTTCATTCATAGGACCTGGCAACTGTGTGCTTAATTTGTTTTAATTTCTGGAAATTAACAGCATATGGTTAAGATTTGGTTTGGTTTGTTCTTTTTAATAAATAGCACTTATGTGAAGGAGACTGGAATATTTACAATATTTAGCAGAATCAGTACCAAATACTGTGACAGCGGCACTGGAGCAAATCTCAAGGAATAATCATTATGCTTTTGTAGTAAATAGTGCAGTGCCCTCTACTGACTGGAGACTACAATGTGCAATCCAAAGCTAAAAATTAGAATATGCACTGCATTCTCAACGCAATGGGGCATTACGCCTGGTAATCCGTCACATGCCATTCTCTATCCCAACTGAAAGTGAAATGGGGGCAGAAAAAAACTAAATTAAAAATGAATTTAAATTCATTTTCTTGTTTCCAAGTTTAGGAAGTTTCCTTATCCCAGCTCAGATTAGGGTCCTATCAATTCCAGTATGGTCTACCACTCGCAACTGCTGTCCCAGGTTTCAGACTGAGACCCCCACCACCTGTTAACTGGTCTTCTTAGCTGGAGATGCTGGGGGACTGAACCAGGGACTTTCTGTATGCAGTGCAGCTGCTTTGGCACTGAGGTCTGGCCCATTCTCGTTGTCCAGGAGGCAGATTTTTGGAAGAATTTAGCATTATAAGAGTTGCTTACCACAGGGGCAGAGAGCAGTTGTAATCGCTTCTTACAACTATTTTTATGCTGGGCCTCTCTTCTCTAGATGCAGCTAAGATTCTGTGTTAGGTGGATAATTCCCAAGATGTAGATAATATTATGCTCATAGATAATATTCCAAGCAGGATCTTTCTCTTAAAGCTTAGAGAGTGAACAGATCCCTATGGGGGGAAGTGCTTCTTAGGGTGAAAAGCTGGGCAGAGACCATGCAGGTCTCTTCAAAACCAGAGTCCGCAAACAGGATTGGACTTAGAAGCAAAGGAGCCAGTGCAATGAATGAGTCAAAGTGCTTTTCCACAGCAACCCCTGGCCCTATTTGTCATGTCCCTCGGAGCTGTTTTTGCCTGACTGCAACTAAAACAGTCGTGGGACACTACATTATATAACTGACTATGATTTAGGCAGAAAATGAATAAACATCAGAGTTGTTTTTAACAGTTGGATCATTGCTGCATTGAGCAAATAGTGGGCATGTATGACTTTTATTAGCAGCTAGAGAGCATGTGACAGAAAATACTGAGAATTTGGAAGGAAACGTCCCATCCACTCATCTTTAATGGGGAGGGCTTCAGAAAAGAAAACTTAGATACAAGTCCTCACACACAAAATTGACTACCTTGACTCCTTGAGCACCCTTCTGAGCAGACGCTAAGCCAGCAATAATTTCTCCAGCAGGTTTACTTTCCTTTGCTTGGTTCAAAAGAAGGAATTCTGCTTGGTCCGTTGCTTTCTGGGTAGGTATGCCTACGTGATCATGAAAATGGGACACCATCAGTTTTGAACCCAGATGATTTGCGAGTATGGATGCCATCTACACAAGCACTGGAGTTGCAGCACCATTGCTGAACCTTTTTTCCAATGAGACCCACATGCAAAGCTGTGTTCTCCTCGGATGGGTGGCATTCTGGATCCTCCTGTTCCCACCCTGTAATTAAGCCCCACTCTGGTAGCCATTATCCAACCTTCCCCAACCTGGTGCCTCCTCAGTACTGTGGACATTAGTCTCACCCAGCATAAATCAATGGTCAGGTCTATGTGGAGTTGCTGAGCAAAACAGCTGGAGGGTAAGGCCGCCACAGGTGATCTGAAATTGCGAGCAGGCTGATGGAGGGACTGAAGCACTCTGTCCCTCCTCTTCACCCAGGACAGGAACCAAGCAGCCCGCTGGAGAAGGAGGCCCCACCTTCCACTCCCAGCATAAAACACGGCAGGGCTGCTGCAGAAGAGCCAAAGCTCTCCACACCTCCCTGCCAGCCCCTACAAGTCTAGTAAAGACACAGGTTCCTAATTTTGCAGGCTTGTTTACCAGGCTTAGATACTCTGCTAATTAAATCCTGGAATGACTCAGAGATCACTTCTATGAGTAAGAGGTTATGGAACGTATAAAATGCCCAAGAGCCATATTCACCTGCTACACCACCTTAGACTAATAAAATTAAAAGAATGTCAAAAGTGCATGTACTGTTCGCATTTGATGGTCATTTTTAATTTAACACCATGGGGAAATATATTTTTAACATACATGGATGTGGCCGAAATTCAGCATGCAGTGACTAGCTTAAAACAGAAGGGAGCACAGAGAAGGATGCCCACATCAAAGGCTGCAGGTCCAGCAATTTGTACTCTGTGACTACCAGAAGCTTATCAGGTGGTTAGGCATGGACCTGGAAGCTATGGATACTGGTGATGTATCCATAGTTTACCTGCCAGGTACGTAATGGAATTGGGATAATACGATTCCTGGCTGTTCAACATACTCCTGGAGAGCTGACACAGTAAAGCTGAGCCCAGGGCAGTGTGAAAAGGTCAGTTACACCTCCACACAGATGCTGCGTGCCTTCAGATCCTCCCCAAGGCTGCCCACAAAATTAACTTCCATACTCTTTGAGGGCTTCAGAGTTACTCCAATTTCTTCCACCTCATCTTCTTCGGGAGAATTCATATCACTCCGGCTTGCAAATCTTGACAAGCTGCCCTTGCTGGTGCTCTTGGATGCTTTCGGCTGAGACAGTTCGGGCGAGATGTAGGCCTGCATGATATCTTCTTCCTCCACTTCATCCTCTGAGCTAAATGGTGGGGTTCTAAAAAAGCCAAAACCAACACAAACCAAAAACCACAATGCTGTAGATTAGTCTGCTTCAATAATTTGTTGCAATTTTAGAAAATGCGAACTGTGACAGCACAGCAAGAGGTTGTTTTAACCAAACTCTAAGCAACCCTGTTATCGCCTTTAGCCAGAGTTTCCCTCCATTCTGAAATTTGGACCATCAAAGAAAGGAAAAGTGGAAGAGGAATCACTTAAGTGCAGTGAATTCATTCTGGGATCACACAGACGCATTTTTACCTACCCCACTGAGTATTACTACTTTCAATATTAGCTCATTTCAAGTCTCATCATCCTAAAGGTGATTTCTTTAAGAATGATGACTTCCACCAACCCAAAATTTCCTCCACGCATCTGAGGATACAGGAAAAGGTCCTCCACTAAGCAATATTCTGGGCATAGTAAAGAAAATGCAGAGCTCCATTTTGGTCTCTCTAAAGAAAGGCGAATTCTGCCCAACTAAATAATCCAGCTGATTTTATCTTGGCATCTGTCATCTGTGCTTCATGACCATTATTTGCAGACGGCGTAAGAAGCTGTGTATATGAAGCATGAAGAGAATAAGAGGCCCGTGTATTTGTGTTTGAGTTCAGCACACATGTTATTGGCATACAAAGAATAAAAGTATTCATCAAGTTTTTAAACAAACAAGTTTATAGGCCTTAAGGCTAAACTTTGTGATGTAGCCAAGAAATCAAAGGACTATTAACAAGACTTATTAGGAGTAGAGTGTCCTGCAGATCTTCCTACCCCTCCATATTCCTTTGCTCTGTCTTCATTTTATTTATTTTAACACTTTTATTTCATTTTATTTATTTTAACAATCGCCTCATGGCTCTTTGAACTTATTGACTAGCTCTTTATGCATTGTAATATATACAATTTTAGCTTTGCATTAGTTAATAAGAATATGAAACTTGGGATTCCTAGTACAGTCTGGAATCGCACCAATAAATAGGCATCATTATCAAATGGAAGACTTACGTAATACTATGCAGCTTCCTGGGAATTCCATCCTCCACAGTATTCTTCTTATTTCTGGAAGAAACAAACCCCAAAAATGCAGTTTTTGCTGCCTAATTATGTTCTTATATATAGAATGAATTGTTAATGCTGCATGAAATGGAAGCAATTTCTAAATGTAGTAAATTAATTACAATGAGGTAACAAATACATAATTGATTATTCCCCTCTCTACAGAACAGCTTCAACATTCCCTCAAAAGAATCTTCCTTCTGCAGAGTCAGAGGAAACAAATTAACAAACTTAATGGCCTCATTTCTTTCTTGTACTTCCAATACAAGGTAGCTTACGACAATAAAAATGAACTGGAACAGTGCAATTTACATCTTAAGTGAAAGGTTCCTCTTACTTTGGAGTAGAGGTGTTTTCAGCAGGGATAGTTCTTTGCCTGACTGGGCGCTTGGCAACGGAATACCGTTTTGCTGCTTTGGGTAACACTGTGGATAACGAACCTCCTGCGTGAGCTGCCCTCTGCTTAGCTGGAATGAGATACAAATAACCATTAAGAACTATGGCAGACAGGCCAAAAGAAAACTGTGTGCTGCCAAGAATAATGTGTCCACTAAAAAAAAAGAGGACCATCTTGTTTCACGTTTGCTGAATTGTTTCCAACAGCCCCAGTTAAGGAGGCCTCCCTGGCTCCCTCACTGAAGGTCTTTCAATGCCCCGGAAGGCCCTTTTATTTTGGCAGATTCAGGGCCTGTCAAATCACTGGCTTTCAGATCCTCTCCCTTTCCCTGAATTTTCACATACTCATCATCCACTAGTACTAGTTTTCATTGCTGTTTGTTGCTTTGGCTATTGATTGTTTTCACCTTTTACACTATCAGTGACCTTGAGTCCTTTAATACAAACAAAAAAGAAAGGTGGCAGTTTATACGCTCTTAATAGGTAATAATTAATAATATGATATAGGCAAATATTATGCCTATGATAACTATTGGCTATCTTGCTTCCTTGTGTTGGATGAAGGTTTCACAAAACTGGCTATCCCTTGAACAAAAAGAGGGTTCTCTGTCCCACACATTTAGCAGAACACTGCAAAATTTGAAGTCAGTCCAGGCACCTGGACTGCATTATCACAGCACAGATAATCAGTGAAATTTCCATTTTTGAAGAAGGCACTATTTAAAGCAATTTAGGGCATTTGTTGTTGCTACGTGCTGTCTCTATTTGATCTATGACCTGCTTGTTCATCTTTTCTGTCAGACCATGGTATTCACAAAGGTCTCCAGCATGATGTTTCAAATGCATCAATTTTCTTCCAGTGAGCTCTCACACATGCACCCAGTGATTGGGAATATCAACTGGATGACCCTGGCCTTGGTCTCCAATCAGCTGTTTCAATTCTTTCTGCCAGTAAGATGCTATTATCTCCGTATCTCAAATTACTAATGTAACCTCCACCAATTTTCACTCTGTCCTCTGTTCCTAATTCGGCTTTCCTTATGATATGTTCTGTGAACAGACTAAACAGACAATGAGGTGAGATACGCCATTCTATAACCCTTTCCTATAGTAAACCATTGTCCATGATATGGGTCCTGCATTAGGACAATCCAGTGCGGAGGCACTCCCATTTCTTTCATGACCGTCTATAGCTTCTCATGATCCACACAGTCAAAGTTTTTTGCTGGAGTCTATAAAGCACAGACTGGTCTTCTTTTGAAATTATTTAGTGTACTCCAGTGGCCAAGTGCCTCTTCCTTTTCAGAATCCAGCTTGGACGTCTGGCATTTCCTGTTCCACATAGGGTAAATTTCTTTCTTGCATGGGAAATTAGTGCTATTGTCCTATAGTTGCTGCACTCCTAAGCACCTCCTTTATTGGGGGCTGGAATGGATTTTGAATGTTTCCAGTCTGTGAGCCACTGTTTTGTTTTCCTTATTTGTTGGCATACTTCTGCTGATACCCTATCTACTCCGGGCACATTATTTCTTTCAAGCAGCTTTCAGTTCACTAATATTGCAGATTCTTCTTCACAGGCTCCCTCTTCAAAGTAGTTTGCTATCCTTTTATTTCTTCTGTACAGTTTCTTTAGGTATCGTTTCCACCTTCTCCTTATTCTATTCTGGTGAGACACTATGCTCCCCTGTTGTTTTTCAGTACTCCTGATCTAGTTTTGCATTCCCCTTTGATTTCTTGGCTCTTTTGGAAGAGTTTTCTTGTTTTTCTTCTTTTGTAGTTCTAGTTCTTTGCACTGGTTATTATAATAGCTCTTTCTGTTTCTATGTATAGACACTGAAAAGTTGCATTCAGGATTCTTACCCTATTTCTGTCTTCTCTTACTTTTGCTTCACACCTGTTCTTAGCAACTGTGTTTCTTCTGTTATACCCATCTATGCTTTTTTTTTCTTTTGCTACAGGACTTGTATTTTGGTATCCTTGCCTAATAATGTCTCTGTTTCAGCTCATAGTTTTTCTGGTTCATGGTCTACCGAGTTCAGTAACACAAATCTGTTCTTTAAGTGAACTTGAAGTTCTTCAATAATGTCATTGGCGACATACAGGTATGTGAGGGGGTGCCACATGGAGGTGGGTAGAGACCTCCCCTGCAGAGGGCAGGACGCGCTCCAACAGAGCCAAGCTCAAGGAGCCAAGGTTCAATTTGGATGCCAGGAAGCACTTCCTGTTAGGGCCCCAAGGGTAAGGAATGGGCTTCCACGGGAGGTGGTTGAGGCCCCATTGGCGAGGGTGTTCAAGGATAGGCTAAACATGCACATGGTGGGCACATCAAGAGTGGAGCCGACTAGAGCCGGGGGTCAGCCTAGATGCCCTGGATGGCCCCTTCTGACTTGCTCTGTTTCTATGTCATAAGTTGTCTTTTGGTACTATGCTTTTGTTAGCATTCTCTTTCAGCATTATTCTGATTTTTTATATTAAAAGTTCATGGTCTTTACCCCAATCTTTTTCTGGTTTTGTTTTGGCAGTAAGAATGCAGCTTCTCCATCTGCTGCCCACTCACACAAATATTCTGATGTTTAACTGTTCAATTTCTTGCTTTACAGTTTCCAGTTTGCCCTGATTCATGCCCCTCATTCCATGTTCCAGTGGTATGGATCAGCAGCACTGGACTTTCCTTTTGCCTCTGTGCACACCTACCACCAGACTTCCTTTCAACCTTGATGCATTTGTCATTAGTGACAGCACTGTATGTACCTCTGCTCTTCCACACTAGCTGGTTGAATGCCTTCTGACCTGGGCACTACCGCTCGTTTCGTTTTGGATTGTTTCATTACAGGGTTTACAAGGTAAGGAATATTCAGAAGTGGTTCACCGTTGCTCCTTCTGTGAAGTGCTAACCAGAGTTAGCGTGTGCTTCATTGCTGTTGTCTGTGGAAGACCCTCCACCAGCGTTGCCTTCAAGTACTGCTGCTGCCCAGTAGCTGCCATTCCAGAGCTCTTCCATCCTCATCCTCACTACAGAGATCCATTCTTTTCTACTGATGCAACTGTAACTCCTTAAGAGGGAGGGTGCATGTCGAGCTGGTGCCTCAGCTACGACCATTCCACCCTGCTCAGAGTCCTGCCTTATGAGAGAGTCTGGTCTCCTGGGAGCATTGCTCTTGGCTGCGTTGACACTCTCAAACCCCCTCACCACATTCAGGTATGCATCCAAGAGAAGGATTTCAGGCATGCATGATTAGATTACAAACCAATTAATCTGTGTAGGATATTCCACAATGATCACAGTGTCTCTGATCACTGTTGCAGTTACACCAAGGGCCAGTGCTTTGCATGTTATCAAGGAACACTGTGGACTTCACTGACTGCCACCCATAAGCCCTGAGGCAAAAAGTTAAATTGCTTATTAATTAACTCTTTGACTTCTAACCTATTCTGCAACTTGCAGCTTCTGCAACTTGACTAGTTAATAAGCCTACAGTTTATAAACATTCTTTATACAGAAACAGGCATACAATTGCTTTGTTTTGCAATATCATGGTGGAGTTTAGCACTCCCCAAAATCTGAAGCTAGGATGGGGAGAGAACTAGGAAGTTATTGCACCTTCTGGAGAAAGGTAAGAGCTGGACAGAAGCCTGCTGCAAGATGCTCTTTCTGCAACTCTGAAGCTGACTTGCCGTTCGAGTTGTTCTCGAATAAGCTGAATGTTGGGAACCTGCTTCCTTCTCTCTTCTCTAGCTGATTCCACAGACATTAGGACTCTGTTCAGATGATCACTTGGGATACCATGGACCCCCTGCGTGGAAGAAGTTGCATTCTAGTATACAGCAAACAAAATGCTTAAAAGAATGGTATGTTGTCTTCTATTTTTTAAAAGAACAATCTTGTTTCCCCTTTCAGAGGAGCATTTTTGAGAAGTACATTAACTAACTTCTGGAGTGGTGTTGCATTAAGTACAGCTGTGCAACTTCATTACACACACCCTCCTTCTGTGGGATTTTGATCTTTCTTAGAAGTCTTTCTAGCACAGAGTGGAAGAGATGTTGCTCTCCAGATGTTTTGAACTTCAACTTCTAGAAGCCCCTGCCAGCACGGTCAATTGGGAATCCTGGGAGTTAAAGCTCCAACACCTGGAGATCTGTGATCTGCTCATGCTTCTGGAGGGCACAGAGGAAAAGTCAAATTGCCCTCCCATTTGAAGGGTCAGCTGGATGAAGCTGTTTTCACAGAAAGCTCAGTTGATGGAAAACCAACTCATGCAGAGGGCTGCCTTCCACAACACGGCAGATACATTTTATTCAGGACAAAGCTGAGCGCATGACTGCTGACACTGGCAGATTAATACTATTAAAAAGTAAAAGAAAAAACCACCTCAGAATGTCACAACTATTTGGCTTTTTCAATGCTATTCCTTAATGGGGTGCTGAAAATGCTGCAAATCCTTAATCAATAACCCTGTGATTGTTAGTGAACACTTGTTTAGAAGTAGTGCATTTTTCCAAACACATGGAACAGTATTTACGATACTTGTCTTTTTCAAAGTTGCATCCCAAAGTTGTATTTTAAAATAATGAAGTGAAGTTTAAGAGATGGTGTTGCTATGGATTTTCAGCACTCTTTCCTTTCAAAACCAAAATTTTGGTTTTAAATTGTATAATTTCCAGTGAATAAACCATAATGATCAGCAGTTTTGTCCTCAGTGAGTTTGTATGAAAGATTATTAAAAATTAAGATAGTTTGTCCTTCTCTGCAAGAAATATCTGTAGCAATCGTGTTTTCCTCTTTTTCAAAATTATTCAAGTTTAAGCTTTTGCTCAGAATAAACTATCAGAGATATCCTACAAAACCACAAACTTCTTGCTACTTTATATACAAGAATACTGAAAACTTTGTAGGATAAATCTGTTTTCTTTGGACTATTTCTAAAGCACTTTCTGTACATAAAACATTTAGCAAACTAAACAGATTTTATCACTCCCATTAAAACTTCATGACTGAATACTTTAAATGTATTTTATCTGATACGAATTATCCTGATCAAATACAGCACTTCAGTAATTCACCGATTCCATGGACACACTTAAATGTGTGCTTAACTCTCTTCCACTGAAATTATGGGGACTCCAAACTTTCCTAAACATGGTTCTCTCGTGTGCCCCCAGCGCGTGCCTTCTACCCCACCTCGGCAACTTGCATGAACATTGTGCAATTCAGAGCCAAAATGCTTAAAGCTGATCTTACTGATTTAATTCCCAAGGATTCCAACTTCTCCACCAGCGTTTGTTCCAAAACAGCTCTCAGCTCTCTTGTTAAAGAAGGGTTGCTCTTCAAAGTGTGTACTATGTCATGCTTACTCTTTCCTGGTCTAGGCTCATGTTTCTCTGTTTCTGCAACATAACATGTACCTATCTTTAAACACATGGAACAGAATCGTTCTTACATACACATTATAAATAAAACTGTCTCCAAAGACACGTTTGCAGTATTTGGTGTGGTCGTCTGTATTTTTACCTGATCAATCCTGGGTTTTCAGTTTTGAAAGCCAAAAGAAAACACAAGTTTGGATACAATCCCAAAAGTCCACTGGCGGCTTGCAAAAGCTCAGGCGATGGAGCGGAAGGAACTGGCAGGCGGTGTGCCCCCCGTAGCCTCACCAGGAGGGCCTGCTGCCACCACACTTCCAGCTTCTGCAGGAGAAGAGGTGCCCAGGTGATACCCAGGGGCACTCTTCCTCCCACAGAAGCTGGTCGTAAGGAAGGGACCCCCACTGGGGGTGGCCACCCCTCTGAAGAGCCATGCCTGGCCTCGTTTCTGGCTGACACGGTCCTTCAGAGAGTCTGGCTGCTCTGCATAGTGGGCGACAGCCACAACGGGAGAGGGAGGGGAGGAGCAAGGAGGGAGCAGACGTGGGCAGGCAGGGAGAGAGGAGGGGCACCTCAGGCAGGTGGGCAGAAGTGAGAAGGGCGGCGGGCAAGAGAGGAGAGCGACGTGGCGGAGGCAAACACAGAAGGGCAGGGGTGAGGAAAGGGGCAGCTTTCACACCTGACTCTTCCATTTGCCACAACGGCTCCCACCTGAAGCCCACTGCTTTAAGGGCTTCCCAGAAACCTCTCCCATTAAACCCGTTACGTTGTCATCCATGGCCACCCACTGACATTTGTGTACTTCCGACATGTTCCAGAGCAGTGGTTCTCAACCGCTGGTCTATGGACCGGTGCTGGTCTGCAGGAAATGTCCTGCCGGCCAGTGAAAAAGCCCTGAGGAGGAAGCCCTTGGGGGGCGGGTGGAGCCAAGCGTTGCAGAGGGGCAGCGTACAAGAGCAGCAACTCGCACTCAGCCCGCTCTGCCATCACCAGGTGAACTGAGCTGCTCGTAGGAGGAGGTGGGAAAGAGCTGGCATGGCACCACACGAGGGGCAGGGCCACTCAGAGAGCCGGAGCGTGGGCTGGATTTTGGCTGGAGAGCCAGCTCCATGGGAGCCGGCTGGGAGCCGCGCTGCCGGTTGACCCTCTGGGCGGGCCCGGAAGACTGGGCCTTTTGTGCTGTGCTTTCTCCTGGTAAGGAAATGTTGAGGCAGGGCTATGTCGACTGTGCTTTCCTAGCCAATCTGGGCTGGTGTGTATGGGGGTTTGAGTGGGTGGGGTTGGTGGCATTTCATTATTTAACATTATAAGTATCATTGCACTATGTACCTTTGCTCTGCTGTTAACACTGTATTTGAATTTGCATTTGCTATAAGTATAGTATTACATTTATATTGATTCTGTATTTTGCTAATGTACATTTCTGATCAAGTATTCTTGAAAAGAAGCAAGAGCAGATTTTGCACTAGCCTTATCTGAATTAAATATTACTCTCTAAAAATTTCAGTTGTATTTAATTGCATTTAATTTAAATATTTTATTCTTTTAATGGCATTTTTTACTGCTCAGTTTCTGGTTATTTTACAGAATTATCATTTCTGGTATTATATTTTTAATACACAAAATACTATATTATGTATATAATGCTTTTTTATTTCTGCCTCAGCAGCACACCCCCCCCAAAATCCTATTTTTGCCAGTCCCCAGCTGTAAAAAGGTTGAAACCACTGTTCTAGAGTCACCCATGGCTTTTCAGAAAGTAAAATGAACTAAGTCCTCTTCGCAGGGGTGCTGGGGACAACCAAAGAAACAAAGGCAACTAGCAGGAGGCCAACTGCCCCAAAGGTGGCTGGAAGAGGAGGAGGGCAGGAGCACCAGGACGGCTGGCACTGCAGGAAAGGCTTTCCGGAGAGGCTGGTGTTGGGAATGAAAGGGTACAAAGGAGGTCCAAGAGGCTGGAGAGGTTACTTCAGAAGGAATAGTGGAGGCATTGTGGCAGCTGGCCCTGTTGAAAATATACTCAAGTGGCATGAAAACACTATCTCTCTTGCTGTAAAATATGACTGAAGTCAACAGGACAGCATTTTGGAAACCGTATATTCACGTGCATTTGCATTCCCATTGAAAACATTACCGCAGCAGGCGATAGAGTCTTTGACTGGTCCTATCATTACCTTTTTCATCCTCTGGAAGCTCCTCTATGGGCTCCAGCATGTGCACCAAAAGGGCCTGTTCTAACGATGAGGAAACACAGGAGTAGCACAGACAGAAAGACAGACAGACAGCACAGAAGCAGGTCAAGATAAAGGTCCAGAGGGCGAAAGTTATGCAGAAGAATAACACGGAGGTGCGAACATTTGATTCTTTTCCTTCTAGTTCATGAACTTCAGAGTCAAGTCAAATGCAGTTACTTAGGATCAAATATTTATAGGAGCAATAACAACCTCTGGGCTTTCATTCACAGGAACCCCACAAGTCAGACGACTTGATGGCACATAACAACAGCAAGCTGCATAGATGAGCATGTGTTTTCAGGACATGACGAGGTGAAGTTTTTACCATACTCAACCACAGCTGCATTTCTCAACCTCAGCTTGCTTCTGAAAGCAGAGGGGATAAAAGTAGGCCTTCAGGATTGAAACAAGGAGGCCACAGAACAGCCTGAGTCTAACGTCTTGCTCTTGCCTTGGCCTCTTCTCTGCTCCTCCTTGCTCCCCATTCGCAGAAACTGCAACTTTTTCTGAATCAACAGATTTGCAGTGGGGTAGAAGGGAGGAAGCACGTGCATGAGACGCCTCCTCCTACCATATGCAGAAAGGGAAGCAGTGAAACGTCACCTAGTTTCTTTAGAAGCAATTGCACAACATCCAGGAGAGCAGGGCTGCCCCTTTTACAAGGAGGAATTCACCAGCTCCAGATCCGAGCTAGTCCATCATCTCCTCCTAGATGTAGCAAGCCATGAAGTTGACTGCACCCAGCTGAGAACAGTGTCCACATCTTGGGCTGCAACTGCTACGCTGTATCTAATAAAGCTGGACCAGACGGAGTAGTGGGCACATCATCCGGGGATCATCCAGATCTATCAGCCTTTGGAAGGCAGGCCACCCACCCTAACGTGCCCATCACTGCTGTGGAGGAAGACAATCCATGACAAGGAAATTAGCCAGAAACCCCACGATCTCAAATCAACATCTGTCGTTTAGGCTGAGAATACCAGGACCACGCTGCATCCTGCTATATGCACTGGGTCTGTGACATCCTGGGGCACCTCCACAAGAGCCATGAGCCACCCTTGAACATCCCCTGAACAACAAGTCCTCACCACCACATTCAAGAAACCTCTGTCACCCAAGCAAAGGAAGTTTGAAGCAGGGAATGTCTAATATTAGAAAGGGTGTTAGAAATACTGTTTTCCTGAATGCAGCTTCTGGGGGAAGGACTTCCGTCAATGAAATAGGATGGGAGGAAGGCTTACTCAAACAGCCTTCTTACAGCTGCGCTCACCTCTCCTCCAATGGCTGCTACAGCTGCTTTGGGGCACAAAAGCCGGTGGGGGCAGGGTATTTTGGAAAAGCTGATCACCAATCTCCCATCTCCCCTTGCTGTTTGGTCCTAACAGTACCAAGTAGGATATAACTACTCAGAAGTAGCTTCCACTGAGTTCAGCAGGGCTTACTGCAAGGGAATTGGGGGCAGGATTGCAATAGCAATGAGATGCAACTAATTTTCTTGGGGTCATGGTCAACATCTAATTTTCAAGCAATGTAAGCACCCAAGGCAGTACTTTTGATTTCATTTTCAGGTCAGCATAAGGCAATTTTAACTTAAAGTAATACAGTGTACATTTTAGAATTTGTATTACAGTTGACTATGAACTGGGCTAGACTGGACCTGTGCTCCAGTCCCTCCCACCCCCAGCCCATCACTTCCTGCATGGAAGAAGCCACATCAGCTACTTCTTTGAGGATGGGAAACTGACCATGGAAAGAGGTTAAAGGAAGTGGGGAAGGAAGGAGAACAGAGCTCCAACGCACCTGAACTAGCATCTAGCTAAAATGCGTGATGGGAAGCCTCTAAGTTTGGGAGTTTATGAGCATCAAGGGTGCAGTTGATAGGATTGTGCTTTCAAAGTCCTAGAATAGATCCACTTAATCCAATTTATCCAAACAGTTTATGTTCTGTGAGGAATACTTCACCTACCTTCACTTTTGAAAAAGCAGTAAAGAATAGCATCTGAAAACTGTTTCTATGTTGCAAAGAGGGGCAAAATGGAACAGAATATTTAGCACTCTCATGAGCATGTTCTAGCACTGCATGTTTCAACTGCTTTGTTTGGATTTAACAGAACAATACAGCTATAACATACTCCTACAGTCTACTACTAGAAAGGGAGCAACTAGGATTTCCTTTTTAAAGCATAATTTTGAAACTGATTATCATAAAGGCAGAAGGGATAGAACAGGGAGGGATAGAAGGAAGAAAGGATGGACGGAAGGGTGAAACACAGAGACAGAAAAGACCTCTTGAGATAAATAAAACAGGCAATCACCAGAAAAACTTCTACAATTAGTATGCAAATTACATCCAAGACGTTTGTTCTGAATACTGAAAAGTTGCATGGACTGTGCTGAAGAACACTTAGCAACAGCAGGCATCATGGCACACACAGAGTACCCTGTATGTGTGATGCACAGAAACCGCAAAGAACTTCAACTATCTGGTACTGCTGGTATAAATGATGTGGAACAACATTCTATTCTATTTGACTTTTCAAGTGATATAACTTATTGTGTGGGCAGTTAACATGTGGTGAGACAACTGGCACTAAACAATATTGCACCTGCGTAATCTAAGTTTATCTGAAAGAGCCAAAACAGGATGGCCATTTCAAACAAATCAGTCTTACGCAAGTTGCAGTTGCCACATAATAAACATGGTTATGAGCAGACCTTCATGTCAAAGTTGTTTTATCACAAGCTTCACAAGCCTTATTTCCCCCTTCTCTTCTGCATTTTAGTTGAGAAAAAAAGAATGTAATTAGGTAGTGTATTATTTCACAATCTGATTAATAGTAAATTTATTCAAGATTGGCTCTAGCAGCAGACAGATTGAGGTGGATGTCTCAGTCAGCTAATTTTGGGTGCTTTAAATTTTGATTATATTTGGGCCAGCCTGAGTTAATTTTGATTACAAAATGGAATTTTATGTTCAAAGTCAAAAGCTTCAGTAACTATTATGCAAGAAAAAATGCCAACATGGTACAATTACATCAGTGAACTTGACATTGATCTTTTCAACACCTTTTAAGAGAGTTTAATGGAAAATATTGCTGTGTTAATTAAATTTAGCTGGTAGCTATTGTCATCCCAAAGGACAATAGACTGGTAAAGATTTCAAAGCCTATTACAGAAACTTACCACGCATGGATGGCAGACTTGATTTGTGCTGAACAACATTCTGTGATGAAGCTTTCGCTGGAATAAAAAGGTGTGGGGAGAAATCAACAACACATATTTTCGAACCGACTTTCCTCCATGCTAGTATAAAAACTGGAATTATTTAAACAAAGATTAACAAGCAAATAAGAGAAAGGGCCGTTTTAAAGGCTTTTTTGCTTGCAATGTCTACTTACCATCGGTTGACCTGATGCTTTCTACTGATTTTTTTGTGGCCAACTTTTGTATCTGAAATACATGAATAGGAAAGAGTCGCTACGCATTTAGAAATGAGATTTTTGGGATTGTATTTGCTGGAAGTCTCTGATTGTGACAAGCTGCAGTAAAAGGAGCAGGGTGCTAGTGGCTGGTCCCAGGCCTGTGGGCGTCTGACAGAGGGACACCGAGCCTTGGAGCTTTCTGCCCACCAAGCTCATGGAGGCAACAAGAACAAGATCCCAGCCCAAGCAAGAGGGCAAGCCACTCACGCTCTTCACTGATTCCTGCAATAAAGACTCAAGCAGTTCAGCACTGCTGGAAAGCAGAGTGAATATGATCTGAATCATGATTAAAACCAGTAGTCTTTAAGATTAAAATCATGGTTTTCTACATAAGTTGCACAGATGCCTGCCTTACCCACAGGTGGAGGAACTTCAATAAAATATTCCCAAACTGGGTCTTTTTTACATCCTGCTGCTACTATAGATTTTATCCTCCAGGGAAAGAATACGATGATAAACCTCAGGCTATGCACAAAAAGTTCCAAAGACTTATGGAGTATTCTGCTCAAACGGTTTCACTTTCGTTTTTACTGCTTGCCCCTCCCTCCTCACACTTATCTTCTTGCACAGATCTATTCCACTCCCAACAATCTAATTCTATTCACTGATATTTCTTTTGAAACTGAGCACTAAAGAGGTAAGGGGTTGATTCTGCGTACACAGATTTGCAAAGGAACAATTGGGTTAAAGTCTTTTACTTGACTCTGTATGTTTATTTTATAACATTTTTGATGTGAGAAAGAGGCACATGATCTCTGCAGATCCAACTTCACAGTTTTGAGAACTATAAAACCAAGCATCAGTGGCAGTACCTTTTAGACAGAAAAAAATGCTCAGTAAACTTACAGAAACCTCTAAAAGAACATGACATTGTGAATGAATTAATGGAATGAATTTACCAAAAATGTAAACAGCCTCTTCCTACATAATTAAAAACTGATCCTTATTTCATGATAATAACCCTTGGAACATAATGTATCTTAAATAGAAAGTTAAGTAGATTTTTCCTCAAAAAGCATCTTATTAAATCTGATTTAATTCAAAAAATCTGATTTAATTTTTTTAATTTTTTTTTTAAAGTCACCCAGCTGGAAAAAGATGTTTTCATTCCTGCTTAAGGTGAGCCCAGTATTGCCAAAAAGCCCAAGGCTGGGAGGTCAGCAGGAAGGCAACACCACAATGCCACTGGCAATTGCTTTATGCGAACTTAATCTGAATTATACCCAGTGTGATACAATCTGACTCCACCACCGGAACTGTCACCCAGTGTGGTGAAATGCATCAATCCATGGAATGAAGGAGGGTAATTTCTCCCAAGTCTGGGCTGGGAGGAAAATGGACCATGTTTTGGAGCTGGGTAAGTTACACCATGTTTAATCTTATTTTGCAGTGTGTGAAGCAGGTCTTTCCTGTCCAGCCGCCACTTGTTCGCAATAGTCGCCAAAAGTACGTTACCCATGATGGGATGCTCAATGGGTACTAGCTTGATAGACAGTTGCCTATCTGTCCAGCCAAGTAGCTGGCTAGCATGTTGTCCATCCAGCAACAAGAAAGCTTGGGTATAAGGAGCTGCTGTGCCAAGATGCATTGTAAGTATTTTGAAGTGCAGCCTTCGTCCACTCCTGAAAACTGGCAAAATGGCTTCTGTCAATTCTCTCCCACCCCAAAAAGGGATACAAATGTGAGGGGGAGAAGCATTCTGAAGCAACCTAACCCATAAAGAAACCTGGATAAATATAATTTTTATGATATGGTCACCGTACATTCATCTGTATTTCTCCATTTGTTAGAAGAGTCCTTTGTTATACTCTGAGGTTAAGATGTGCAATGGCATCAAACAAAACAGACCTGGTGCTTCTGTGCAATAATAAGGTCATTCTGCTCCTGAAGCCTCTGTCCTAGTTCTTCGATTCTCTTCTTATAGAAGATGTTGCTTGCATTGAACTCCTCGGTCATGGATGCTTTGAGTTTCTCAATTTGTGAGGTAAGCTGAATTTGTCAGATATGGAAAAGGAAACTGATAGAAATGTGACTTTAAACATTTCAATATTACACTTTTTAAATAGAAGCCAAGAATGCTGGCATAGCTTATATCTCCTTCTGTTCCAGCTGAATCAATTTTGCACGGACAGGGTAAAAGCTAGAGCCCACTCAAGTGCAATCTATAGCAGACATCCACCCACTACATGCCTCGTTTCCCATCTGTAAGCAAGAGGAAACCTCACCTGCACACACAGGCTGATTAGATGGAGGTTCTATTCTTAAATAGATGTGTCTGTCTTAGCTGGATGCTATGTGTTCAAACAATTAAAGCAGCTGTGAAGATTCTGGGTTCTTATTGGGAAACAGCTTTCTATGGGAGTAGCTTTAGAGCGAGACATAACACAGAGAAAAATACCCATGGGGAGTTTTTCAGTGATGCTATTTTAATCTTGGTATTGAATGTACTTTCCCTGACCTGGTACCTTCCAGATGTGTTTGACTACAATTCCTAGCATCCCCAACAAGCAAAGTTGGCAGGGCACTAGGTCGGGGAAAGCCGATCTATTATCATTCTGAAGTGTTATGAAACACACTTCTCGTGGGTTTCCCTGTTATATGGGATCGGAGGCAAAGTCATAAACAGTCACCTCGGTAACAACTTTATATTTTACTTAGTAACTGTTTGTGAGGCTGTTTCTGGTCTGCCTCCTGGCAGATGTCTCTTGAACTTCCCCGGCAAACTGCATTGCAAGCTATTGTGACATATAAAATAATCCTGCGGGGAGGGAGATATTTCCCCATAACATGGCACAGTCTTTTCCCCACAATGGGGATCCGAGCAGCGCTTCTCAGCTGTGAGACTGGAGGGCCGTCCCCAAACTCAGAACCAGGAATCTAAACTAGCCTATGTGCCCCACAGGCAATGTCGATGGCCACAGGGTTGTTCCCTCCATTACATACAGTCTAGGTTTCTCTATCAGATGACTGCACAGCTTTACCTGGTATTTTTCATGTTCATGTTCCTCCTGAAGAGCTTGCACTTTAGAAGTCCACTTAGTTTCCTATTCAAACATATGCATGCAGTTAGCTCGCTGGAAAACACACCCTAATTTAATTTAAATTCAAATATATTATAAATAAATGAAGTACTGATATGAACTGCTGCATCAGAAAAGCAGCCCTATAAGAGGAAACATAATGACTGCAATGGTGGCATAACAGCACTATTGGCTGTACTACACTTACATTTGAATCTGAACAGATGCATCACTGAAGCAAATCAGCAAGGCTAAAAAATGAATCGATTCTTTCAACAAGAAAACAAGTTCAAATGTTTCAGCAGAGGCCAGAATGTTGCTGAGAAATTCAACACTTTTTAAGCATGAATTAGCCTCCTTGGTGGCCTCACACGTGGGTTGTCCAGCCTACACCATGGGGGACTACGAAGGAAAAAAAATATTTGTACAGATGACAATATCTGAACTAACAGATATGCTATGTTCAGTTTGGAGATTTGGGATGGGGCAGGGTCAAACCTTTCATTGATACACCTAAGCCCTTGAATATGCCTCTTTGGATCACACCCTATTAAAAATGTTATGCTACATTCTGCACTTTTAATGCAAAATAATTTTAAAAGAGTATTACAGCACAATCCTATGGCCTCTAGATGCTGTCTAGGCAGCCACAGGAAAATTCAGAGTCCTGACTTCAGAAAAGGAGTCTTCCTCTCCTGCAGCTGCAGCCAACACAGCGCTTTCTGTGCCAGGGGCTTTGGGGCAGGCATATGAGGGGCTGTCTGGGTCATGGTCAGGGAAAAGGCAAGGCATTACTAGCGTAAGAGGAATCCCAACAACACCTCAGTGCCCCCCTCCCATTTTCAGGGCTAAAACAGAGGGCAAAGGAATCATGAAGGGAATGCTTGCTCCTGCAGTCCTCCTGCACAGAGACCCAAAATCCCTCCAGTCCAGAGGCTTATGGGCAGTCGCACTGGATGGTGCCCTTACTGATGCAAAGTACAATGGACCGTGCTTCTGGAACAACACACACGTCTGAGGCTCTAAAAATTGATGAGTCTCCCAATGAATAAACACCGAAGGCAGCTCAAGTCCATTTCAAAGGTTCACTATGTGCATGTTCATGCGCACATGCATTCCACTGCTATATTGCTCAACAGCTGACGCTACCTGGGCAGTTTGTGAAAATTAAAAACCAGTAACATACATTATGCACAGTGCAAAAATCTCTTTTCATACAGATGACACACACATGGCCACAATATATCTAAACAGCTTTCAGTGGGTAACAAGGATCTAGGACCTGATTAAAAAGCTCAGTATACACTGCCAAACGCCCGAGAGGAGAGCCTGGGGCTACCCTGTTGCCAAAATAAAACTGCACTGGTATCAGGCAGGCCTCATGAAAACGCTCTCTCTTCTACGAACCGAAAACAATGGAATTAACCTTGGAGAACAATGTGCATGAATTGAGTTAAATTACCTGTCTTTCAAGAAGCTCCATTATATTCTGATGATCTACAGTATTCTGATGCTTCTCTTCCATAAATTCATAGCTATCCTTTAATGTTCCTAAATTGGATTTCAGGTGTTTGTTGGACTTCTGTACTTCTAATAAATGCTAAAAGTAAAACAGCAACAATAATAAACAATATGGGTTGGCTTTTTATTGCAAGAAAATAGGAACTTGAAATAGTTCTTTTTTTGAAAAGAGAAGCGAGATGGCTTATTTAGGTGCAATCCTAGATTAACTCAGAAGTTAATCCCATCTAATCCAATGGAACGTATTCCTAGAAAAATGGACACAGAATTGTAGCCTTAAAGAATTCTGCTAGAAAATGCTTTCTTTTTTTATAATTACCAGCATGCCTGATAATAGAAACCTACCCACTTTCCTGAATTCAGCTTTTCAAAACAAGCAAGCAAATAGTCAGAATACAGCATTATTTATTCTTGAATGTTTCAGAGTGCCTCCTCAACCACTTTTGAACGTTGGCCCCAATCCAAGTGTGCACAGGCAAAACCCTCTCAGGAAAGCACTAAACATACAAATCAGCACGCCGTCAGCAAAGGAAAGGGTGGCAAGTAGATGAAGCTCCTTGCTCATCTTCTCAAACTGCTGATAGGTGCAATTATTCTACTAGCAATAGAATAGAAACATAGAAACACAGAAACAGAGCGAGTCAGATGGGACCTCCCGGGCTATCTAGTCTGACCTCCGGCACCAGCCGGCTCCGCTCACGACATGCCTACCATGTGCATTTCCAGCCTATCTTTGAACACCTGCACTGATGGGGCCTCAACCACCTCTCGTGGAAGCCCATTCCACACCCTCGGGGTCCTGACTGTCAGGAAGTGCTTCCTGGCATCCAAATGGAACCTTGGCTCCCTGAGCTTTGCTCCATTGGAGCGCGTTCTGCCTTCCTCTGCAGGGGAGAACAGGTCTCTACCCATCTCCATGTGACATCCCCTCACATACCTGTATGTCGCCAACCTATCCTCTCTGAGTCTCCTCTTCTCCAGGCTGAAGAGACCCAGTTCCCTCAGTCTCGCCTCATACGGCATCCCCTGCAAACCGGCCACCAACCTTGTGGCCCTA